ACTATATTGAATGTTATAATTTTAAAGGCATAAATTGAAGTTTAAATAAGAGTTGAATGGATAAAATTAAAATATATAAAGGTGTCATATTCCAATTAGTAACTACAGGGGAAAATTTGTTTAATGAGAAAAGATAATATGAAATTGAAACAGGACAGACAAAAGTATAAACATAATGATTAGAAAGACATTGAAACTTAGAAAAAGATATATAATTGAATTTAGATATGAGATAATTAAAAATAAAGTTGAGAAAACCAAGGGAGGGAAAAAATTATTGAGAAAATGTTAAAATAGTAATAAGATATGGAATAGAACACAAAGATGAATATGAAATTGAGTTTGTGTCTGTATGGAGGAGTGATAACCTGGGATCATGGTATTCTCAAAAAAAGATGTTTTATTTGTATTATGTTATTGTGAAAACCCAAATAAAATTTATATTTTTTTTAAAAAAGAGTTAAAGATGGAACATCTCCAAACTAGGGGTGACGATGTTAAAAACCGCAGCCACTCAGTCTTCACAAGATTCATCCAAAGACTGTTCTCTCCTGTCCAAACCCACAGACCCCCAGACATTATTTTATTTGTTTGTTTGTTTGTATGTTTGTTTATCAAACATGTACAAGATAACAAGTATATGTATGAACATAAATATGAACAAAGGAAGTAAATACAGATAAATGGGGACAGTAAGACATGGACAGTAGGCATGCTGGCGTTCTTATGCAGGCCTTCTTTAAGGACCTCTTAAGAAAGGGGTGGGGTCCACAGTTTGAGAATGAAGCTGTGAGGGGTTGAGGCTGTAACAATGGAGTCGAGTAGGGTGTTCTAGGCGTTGACCACTCTGTTGTTGAAATCCTATTTTCTGCATTAGGAAAGAACCTGGGTGGCATCACGTGCTTAGCCCATGACCATGATGTATAGCTGGGTGTCATTGTTATACTAATCATTTCTGGCCCATGTTGATGGATGACCTCACCTACAGCTCCATGTAGATGTTAAATAAGAACACAGAGACAGAGGAGCCTTGAGGCACCCAGAGGCCTCCAGACTTGATCATTCTCCTCTGCCAACATGGACTGGAACCAGCCCCAAAGAAAGGAGGAAAACCATCACTGTATTATGACATCTACTCCCAATTCCTGAGTGAACCCAGAAGGACACCATGATCCATAAAAAGTCACTGAGAAATCAAGGAGGACCAGGATTGATGCAATAATCGTCAATAAGCAGTATCAATGTTGTTTCAGTAATGTGACCAGGTTTGAATCTTTACATAGAGGGATACAGGTAGTCTATTTCATCCAGAACCCTTTAGATTTGTAAGCTGTCCACCTTCTTAACAGCTTTCCCTAAAAAGGAAAGGTTGGAGATTGGACGAGAATTGTTCAGATTCATTTGGGTCTAGGGAAAGCCTTTTGGAGAGAAAGTGTTGTTTAGTATTTGATTGGAAGACCCTAAAAACACTCTAAAACTATAGGTAGATTGAGAAGTGGGGGAAAAAATCCCAAAAATAGAAACAAATCCCAGAAGCCTTAAACCAAGAATGACAAGCAGTAATTCTTCCTTGCTGAGTTCTTTATTGTTTCACATCTATGGACAAAGTTTTGCCAGATTGAATACTTTACTCTCTGCATCTACAAATACTCTGTAAACTCTTAGGGAGGAGTTGTCTTCACCTTCTTTCTCTCACACATGGTATCTGGGCTAAGCTGCCTCTTATCCTCTGGAATGCAGCCCCTTCCATCCTGGGGATCCACTTTCTATTCCAGTGATGGCTAACCTATAACACACGTGTCACTCATGACACGCCGAGGCACTTTGACTGACACGCCTGTTGGTCCGCTCAGGAGGAGGGGGAGGAGGTGGTGGTGGCGGCTCACATTGTTTTCTGAGCTCTAGGCTCTAGACTCACAGGCTCAGAAAATAACGCGAGCCGAGGTGGCTTTGGCTCCGCTTGGCTTCGTTTCCTCAGCCCCAGCTGCTTTCAGTCCGCTCGGGAGGGGGGGGAGGTGGTGGCGGCAGCTCGCGTTGTTTTCTGAGCCTGAGAGCCTAGAGTCTAGAGCGAGCCGCCGCCACCACCTCCTCCCCCTCCTCCCGAGCAGACTGAAAGCAGCTGGAGCTGAGGAAACAAAGCCAAGCAGAGCTGAAGCCATCTCGGCTCGCGTTGTTTTCTGAGCTCGCGAACCTAGAGCTAGGGCGCTTTCATTGCACGGTGGAGCTTCTTGTCTCAGGAAATGCTGGGCGTCTTTGCTGCCCCTTGAGGGGAGGGCGATTCTGGGCTGCGCGATTGTGGGACTTCATCGCTTTGGGTGGGTGGGTGGGTGGGAGCGAGGACGTTGACTTTAAGCGGCGGGGGCGGATCGCGCATGCTGGAAAGGGCTTGACTATATTCCGGGGATAGAGAGAGAGAGAGATCATAAGAACAGCTCTTGCTTTTTTCTCGCAAGGGAGAGAGTGACTCCTGCCTCCCACTGTCATCATCATCATCTTCTTTTGGGTTAGTGAATCAATTAAACCTTTCATGATAGTGAGATCGTTTCCCAAATTTCCCTTAAATCAGGGAAGAAATCAGAAACAAACCTTTGGACTGAGAATAAGCCTGTTCCTATGATGCCATTTTTGTTCACTGCAGTGTGAAAAGTGTGAAAAAACACACTTCTTTTTCTTCATCATTTAATTACCTCTGTAACAGTGTTGTTGGACTGGCTCCTGGTACAAAATAATATAAGTTAATTTCTTAATTTACCTTGTATATAAATTGCCATGATTTTTATTTATCTATTGTTGCAGCCCCGAGATGGATAATCGAAAACGTAAAAAAGCAAGACTGAATGATAAAGGGAGTGGGAGTAGCAGACTCTTTCAAGATACCTGGACAGAGATGTATGGCTTTATAGACAGAAAAAACAGGTCATTGTGCATACTATGTAATGAGACAGTAGTAAGCAGAACGTGGAACATAAATAGACATTTTGAAACTAATCATCCCAAGCTCTTGGGAAAAAGTCTGGATGAAAGGAAGGAATACATTTCTAGGCAGTTACACCTCTATAACGGCTCTATAATGGCTTTACTCACAATTTTTCCCTCAACATACTTTTGTGAGACCTTATTCTCAGCATTAAATAATATTAAAACAAATAAAAGAAACAGACTGACAGATGAAGTTAGTAGTGCTTGCTTGGCCCTGAAGTGCACAAAATACAACCCTGCAATTGAAGATTTAGCAAATGCAATTCAGCAACAGAAAAGTCACTAAGATAAATCATTATTTGTTTTTTGCTTTTTGAACTAATAAATATAATAAATATATTAAAAATATAACTCTTTCTTTATTAGGGCTGCAAATATTACCAAATTATTGATATTTCTTGAAGTGACACATGACCCGAGGAAGGCTACACTTTTTCCCAATTTTCAACACACCAAGCTGAAAAGGTTAGCCATCACTGTTCTATTCCATTTCATCATAAAAAGGGGACAATAAAGAAAAAAGGATGTTAAAACAAAACAATACATAATAACCCTTTTGTATAGCGTTGTTGTAAGGAAACAACATCAATATGTCTACAAAGTCAGCGGAAATAATATTTAATACCATATATTCTGAGAACTATTAGGAAGGAGCTGTCTTCACCCTCTTTCTAACACAAACCATCTGGGATGAGTTGCCTCTTATTCCTCTGGAATGAACTCCTGGGAGTCCATCCTACTACAGTTCATCACAGGATGCTTCTGATGTCCTTATCTGCCTTTCGTGTGTACTTCTAACAGTTTCTCTGCAGACTGCTGAGAAATTAACATATTTGCCTCTAGCTTAAAAACAGGAATTATGACTTCTTGGGCTAACATCTTGCCTTTCCATGGCAGGCAGTATCTGCAGAAATTTGTTTTCATACTTGCCAGGAAAGGAGTTTCATCTTCATGGTGAAATAAGAAAAAAGCAATCTTGGATGGTAAATACCTATCTCTAGGGAAAAGAAGAATGTTCGGGAGTTAGAAGAATTCATTTGAGATAGGAACATTTTTAGCTCTTTGGAAATTGTGGGCCCTTACTACTCTGTTCTGGTAATTTGATCTTGGCCACAGAAATGTCTTCATTCAATGCCTGCAAATGTTGTCCTACCTGAGGGAAAATTTACTATCAGGTTTAGATGGAACAGAAGCTCATGATTTTAATCAGTAGTTTTAATAAAACAATTTGTATTACATTTATTGGTGTCTATATAGGTTTTTTTAGAATATTTCAAACCAGTCAATATTTACTGATGACCAACCAGGTAAAATGTTTGAAATTGTATTTGATTTTATTTCCAGTTAAATAAAAATATTGGGGAAGATGTCCAGAACCTTGTTGAGGCTAGGGGAATATTTATTTTTTGGCTTAGAGGAATATTTATTCATTTATTTATAGGGGATTATGTCTGTCAAATTGCAAGTGATCCATGGGTTTTCTATTTGATCAGTTGTGGAAGGGGGAAAATACTAGATTTATGAATAAGTAGAACAGAAGATGTTCTTATTTGTTCTGAATCAAGTTACAGCAAGTTCCATGGGAAGAAAAAAAAATTGAATATTTATAAGTTTGCTCAAATAGCTAAGTCCTTTTAAATGATTGAGTAGAATTTAAGGCTCCCAAGTTAATCTTTCACTATGAGCCAATGAAAAAGATTTGTGTTGGGTCTTTTTTTTGAATCACAACTGGGAACAAACTGGGGAGCGTGGAGGCATAATTAGATTAGCTAAACGAGGCACTGAAAGAATGGACATTGTACTATTCAGAGAGAGCAATGTTGGTTTATGATAACATAAATTAGAAGATATTTATGACTAACAATTTCATTAAAAGCTGCAAAGTTTGGTGAGCTGCAGCACATTTCATCAAAAGTGACAAAGAATAGAAGATTTCAGGATTCACTCAGACCCACAAAGTCTATGATAAATTGCGAAAGTTGAAACTGATGGTCGTGAATAGAAGAGACAATGGTAGGAAAATGCTGGACAACAAGGTAAGGATTATCAATATGGGGCGTGTGTGTGTGTGTGTGTGTGTATGTCAGCCTATGGTGGAAAGATGATGGACATTAAATATAGCAGATATTTTGAGATTTCAAAAAGGGAAAGAAAAAAGAATGGGATAGTTCAGATTTGCTGGTTAAGGACCCATGGAAAGGTAAGGATTCATGGTTAGATTCTGAAAAGAAGGACCAAGGCATTTAAAATATCCAGCTGTTTCCCCAGTTTTGATGACCTCCTCCTCTCCTTCAGAACCAAACTTCTCTTTCCACTGGATGCATCTTGCCATCTTCACCTTTCCACAAGATTCAATTCCACCAGTTCAGCAATTGGGCAGACAAGCTGCCATAGAGTCACATGGCCAGAGACAAGGAACATCTGTGGTATTAAGGAAGAGAAGAAAGCCAAGCTTTTGCTTGAAGTTATTTTGGTGAAAGATAAAGACAAGGTAATGGTAACAGAGAAAGCCAGGAGAGTTGGGACAAAAAGCCGAATGAGGAACATTGCCCATAGCACTCTCCAACAAGTGAGCCAGACTTCTCATGGGGTGAAAGATTTTTTTTACTCTCTTCCAAAATAAAAGTAACTCCAAACCACCCACCCCATTCCTATTTCAATAATGGTAGAGTCCAGCAATCTTAGCACCCAACCAGGTGATTTCAAGTAGAACATTAAGGTAAGAGACTTTAAATCACAAAATCAGAAGGACACTAACAAACTGCATTAAAAGTTTATGCCTTGTAATCAATCTTAATGCCTTGCAACTCAATCTGCCTGCCTGCTTTGCCTGCTTTTGGGTAAAAGTTGCTCTTTTTTATAAAAAGATCAATATTTACATACATGGTGTGTTGTGAGTTAATTTTGTGAGTTT